ATACTATCCCAAAATGTTAGTGGCGCTTAGAGATTTTCTTGAACGCTTGACTGGCCTATCCAGCCTCGAGTTTTAATTTATATTGAATAAAAGGACATGCTAAAAATGTTATTTGTTATTTGTGTGAAACATTAAGCTCCGATACATTGGTAGATTGTTCAAAGATAAATCAAATTAATAACTTTTAGATAAGAAGTTAGAACAAAATATGAGGGGAAAACATATTCTGCTAAAAATATAGAAAACTGTTATTTTTATTATTCACAGGCTCCTATTGTAGTAGTAGATCAGTTATTCGTATATACGACTTTTCCCATTTTTAAAATTAAAAGCTAAAGTGCTAAGTATTCCCTAGCTTAATACGTACTTACATGCTAATTCTTAACACAGACATTATTATTAATTATTATACTATAATATGTTAATATGATATATCACTTTTAAGAATGATGCATAATGCAAATAATAGTACCTATAGATTATTAAACCGTATTTAGTGTTTAGTACGGAGGCACACATATAGAAAAAAGGAAAAAATAAAAATGGCTATCTTTTGTTTTAATATCATATTCACCACGTTTGTTTCTTTTGTTTTTCTTTGTAAGTATATGTAAAGCATCTTATTATAGGTTGCTATAATAATATTATGTCATTATCTGTTATCTACGTTTTTCTTGCTTGTATAATTTTGCAAAAGCCGTCTGCCGTTGATTATAATAAAATAAAGGGGGACGAGGTGGCCGAGCGGTCTAACGCGTCGTCTGCGGAGCTGGCAGTCGCGGGATCGACTCCCGGCCACTGGGCGGCATTTTTCTCCGGGCAAGTCACGGTGTCCGGAAAACAAATGCCGCCATCCCCCACTCCGGGGCATGGCAGAAACCTACGGGTGCCCCATTCAAAATTCTGCCAAAATACACCCACGTGTAACACCCCCCTACCGTTAAATAACCTACAGTACCAACCCCTCTCCCAATGGCCTAAGTTGCCGCGGGATAAAATTAATAAAAAAAAAAAAAAAAAAAAATAAAATAAAAATAAAAATAAAATGATAGTAAGGTCGTGGATCTTATACTAATAGACGGAGCATGATGTTAGTTCCCAAAGTGAACGTGGGAAACGCTGATCGTATTGTTCCACACTTATGCGCATGTGCGTACCAGATCATGCATAGTTAAAAACAAAAACAGCATAAAAACGTAGGTAATTAATAATTAAATGAATCATGGATATTTCTTACAAGTTGCAAACCAATTGAATGAATTATGAATAAACTTGTACTAAGTCTAACTATAGTAATTTTTCTGGTTTTAGATTTCAACGTTTTCGTTTTCTTTATGTTATTGATTTATTATTATAATACATCTCTAGCTGTTTTATATTATTATCTCTTTTGTTCTTCACATCGCGTTATGGTATCAGCTGTGAAATGGTCTGAAATGGACAACATTTTCTTCCATTTCATGAAACGGAAATGTGGTTTCGAGGAATTATCTACGTCACAATTTATGGATAACATTTCTTTAATTATTGGGTATTTAGTATATATTATAATATAATCACCTATACCTACATAAAGGGAACTGATTTGACTTCAACTTTTTAACTTGTTTATGTACCTACAGCATAACAATTACTAATAATTATGATAATACTGCGATAGATTGAATGAACCAAATAAATTGTGTATATTATACAGTAGGTGGTGTACCTACAGGCTATGGGTAATTCAGGACTAAAATTGATCATTTGACTGTCAAAATGTTCAGAAAAATGTTTTACCAGAATCCATCAAAAAATATAGTGGTAACCATTTGAATAATTAAAGTAAATTTTATTATTGGTACAACTGCGTGTTTAAAAATTTTGAAAATTTTGTAAAAAAATTACCTGTTAAAAGAAAAAAACCCGCCTACAATGACATATGATACACTCTGTATATTTTTTGTATAGTAAAAAATTATACAATAATATAAAGTTGTTAATATGTAATGATACAATTATTTAGAAGTTAAAGTTGAAAGAGGGCCCACTAAGTGTATGGTGTCCCGTGGCCCAATTGATCCTTAATCCGAGCTTGGTTATATTAGAATGATTAGTGTTTATTAACAATAGAATTTTTTTTTTTTTTAAACAAAGATTTTTCAGTACTCAAGTAAATACCTAATAATAATAAAATTATCAAATTAATATAATTATGAATAGTCGAATAAATTAAACTGTGAAATAAAAATGTTGACTTTAAAGTTTAATATGTTTCACTGTTTCAGTATTTATAAAATATGGATATCTAAATGACAGAACAAGTTAAGTATAGTTTACGTATCCATATCATGTAATTATGCAAAGTGCAAGAAGAGACGCAGTTTCATTTCGTGAAATGGATGCAATCGTATTGTCACACGTTTCTTGTTTTCACTAAACATATTATAATATAATGATATGAGGATGAGGCATATCCCATATGGGTCAGTGGCGGTCAAATGATTTTGTGATAGGAGAGGGGTGGCTGATTATTTAACATTACATACTATTTGATCATTCAAAATATAATTTATGTTATCATAAATATTTTTAAAAAATGTCATAGTTCATCGATTAGGCTGGTTTGGCCGACACTGTTTATATGGGTATTATGGCACTTTAATTGATTGAATACATATTATTATGTATAGCCGTATAGGATTCACAACGCACACGCGTCATGTTAATATTAGCATAAGAGCACAATAATTTATTTGTATAATACATAATATATGTATATAATTAGTATACTCATTTTCACCAAACAAATTATATTTCAAATGATTATGAATGATAAAAACATTAGTATCCGTAATTTTTATGTCAGTAGTTTAGCATCAATATAATATAAATCTAAATTGTAGTATTATTATAGCTTTAAACATAAAATGTCCTATTCGGAATATATTAAACATAATACAATTTTTTTTTACCGTATAGAACATATTCTCCTATAAAATACGGTACTAAAAAATGAATACGAAAGTACACATGAGATCAAAAAAAAAAAAAAAAAATATGGACAAAAATCAAAACGGATTATAGAAAATTATTACAATAATACGATATTGTTAGTATTTACTACGGGTATAATGAGAAAAAAGGACGTATAGGGGGTAGGTGGTTTATTGTAACAAGCATAATTAATATAATATTCTTACTGTCTAAAATGCGCAATAAAATGTAGTCTTTCGAGCTAAGAAAAGTTGATTTATACAAGAAAATGTAAAAAAAAGAAACAAAAAATTACGAATTATTGCACGTACGTATGGGTATAATAAATATAAATTTTAAATAACAACACACGATAAATTATCTTTACAAAGTATGTATACAAATATTTTAGAGACTGCGCGCATGTACATATTATAATATACTTAATAGTTTTCGCTACACAAATTTAAATCAATATTATATATAATATAATATACCTAATAAGTAATAATACAATAGATACAAAAAAAAAGTTTATTATTCAATATTTTTAAATAATAATAATGACAATATAATATAGCGAACAAACACGTCTCGATGAATAGTATTAATTTATTATTATAATATCTACATATTATGGTTTTAACTTTTAAACCGACCATCTGGGGGTTTTGTTAAAAAAAAAATGTCCAAAACCGGAAATAAATCTGTCAATCGTCGTTACTAATAATTACATAATATTGTAATATGCGGGGAACGGTATATTGTGACCAGGCAAAGATATTTTTTGGGAACTTTTATTCGGCAAAGATGAGCTGATGACCTATTTTATGGTATACCCCTCCGCACAACACACACATACACATAATATGATACAATAAGGGCCAGTTGTACCGTCCATGGTGAAACTACGATTAAGTTTAATCGGCTGATAACAGTTATTTAACCGGGCAAAATCGGCCGATTAAACTCCGGTTAACTTTAATCATAGATGGTACAACTGGCCCTAAACATCGTCCATAGTTTATTTAATATTATAAGGTTGACTAAGTCATAACATTATGAGCATTCCGTGATTGGTATTTGGTGGTTGGGGGGGGGGGGGGGGGTTAGATGTATTTCATTGGAAACTGTGTGGAAGTCGGTTTAGCTTGGTTTACCCCTCATCGCATATTACTTTCGAATGTGTGCGTCTACACAGTTCGTCTCAATTACGCCGTTGGTCGATCGAATATTATAATAATATATTATTATCTTGTATTTTTTGAGTTAATGCTTCGGAAAATGAGGTAATTTATAGCCTGAAGGCTATTTTAAGTAGGTTTTTGTTTTGGGGTAGGGCACGGTTTGGAACACGTATCTATGCGTGGACGAGGATTTGTAACTAAAAACCCGGGTGGTCAACCATCCGGGAACTATAGCAACACCGGCCGATGCTTGACCTCAGAACATGTTAGTGACTGAGGCAAACTATCGCACCACACCGCACCACACAATGCCACGCCACTATTATTATATATTAGTAATACTACCTAACCGTTGGGCAGGGGACTCATTGGATATTTGAAAATTTATTATAGACAAAAAGATGTTTGGCAAACGTTTGGTCATCATAATATAGGTACCTACTGATAAACCGTTATTGTGTGAGGTAATATACCTACAACAGCCGATACCCACATAGTAATTATTCTAAAACTGAATTTTTCTAGCTTACAACCAGCTACATTCGACATTCGCTTAGCAGGTTATTGAGGGTTACCAGCAGTTGTCTGGTATTTAACGCGATATAGTTATAGGTCATCACTCCCCTGCTAAAGAAAAAACCCTGCTGCAACTGTAATCCAATATTGCAACCTACACTTCATCATTGCGTTATAGCACTCGCCGACATGTCTGCATTTTACGAGCGACTACTCTAAATAATTATAATATTAATTTATTTAATAATAATATTATTATGTACACAATAATAATAATAATAATAATAAAAATAATAATATGGTACAATATATAATACGTTTTTCAGTATATCGCAATGGCGATTAGAACATCGACGACGACGTGTCGGAAGACGTGACCATTATGTCGGAGCCGACCGCCTGTTGCTGTTGGTGGTGGTTCACGCCCCTCACGTTGTTGGCGTTGGCGTCGCAGTCGGCCAGCATTTGGCTACCGCCGGACGACGCCATGGCCACGTCGGCGGCCGCCGCAGCGGCTGCGGCCACGGCCACCGCGGTTGCGGCGTTCCGGCTTCGGATCCCGCCGGCGTTGTTGTTGACCAGCATGAGCGCGTCCGCCGACAGGCTGAGTATCTTGGCGCTGTGCTCCTGCGCCTTTGCCCTGAGGCACGCTATGCTGTTGTTCCGGAACTCTTCCGAGTCCTGCGCCCGGTTGGCGGCCAGCTGCATGACGGCCGCGTGGTGTTGTTCCATCTGTGACTGTATCTCTTGCTGGATCCTCCGGTGAGCTTCAGCGTTGGCCGCGCACTGCTGCTGTTGCTGTTGCTGCTGGTGCTGCTGCTGTCGGTCTTGCGCGACCGCAGCGTCTTGTTGTTGTTGTTGTTGTTGTTGTTGCTGCTGCTGTTGCTGTTGCTGCTGCTGCTGCTGCTGTTGGTGCTGTTGGTGCCGCTGCGGCGAAGACATGTCTGTCGCCGTCTCCGGACTCGTCCTGGCCGGCCTCTTGCAGGGGTGGTTCTCCTCGTCATCGTCTTCGTCGTCCTCTTCGTCGTCCTCGTCTTCCTCCTTGTCGCTCTTTTGGCTGGCACCGCTGCACACGGTGTTGTCATCTTTCAGCTGGTCCGCCGCCTCGATCGACTTGCGGTGCATGCCTAAAACATTCAGGGTTATGAGTTAAATTTTGACGGTCATTAATAGATGGTGGTTATTATATACTTTTTTGATTACAGGAATAAGTGTTTTCGAATAAAAATTTCAATTTTAAAATGTATTGCGTTATATCTGTGACGCATGCGTGTTTGTAACGTGTCCACAACTATATATACCTCTATACCTACCTATAGCTAGATACCTATTTTGTTTTGCATCAATGTGAATCATTTTTCATTTTTAATACTAAACTGATATTGGTTTAGTGGGGAATTAGATACAAAACGTTTTCCGTTTTCTTTAAAAATTATTTTATAACATTAAATATAATATAAATACTATTATTAAAATAACGTAACTCAAATTCATTATTTTCATTATATTATACGTAATTTGTTTATAAGTATGACACATTCGATGAAATTTAAAAATGTATTAGAATCGAGATTTTAAATAATATAGGTACAAATAGTACCTTGGTACTAATTATAAATCAGTCTGGATTAGAACTGCATTGTAATCAAGTATCAAAAGAAAATATGAAGCATTCCTATAGTATCTATAACTTTGAAAAGGATAAACCATCAAATTGTAAAAGCAATTTGTCATTTCGTATATATAATATTACAGTGTAACATTGATGCACCGTCGCACCGTTCTACCAAAACAAAACCAACCATTTTAAAGGGAGAAAACATATCAATGCATAACGTATACGTATATTATTATATTTTGGTTTTTAGGGTTTTTTTTTTTTATTATTAAATTTGAACATTGGTAGAGATATAATAGAATTTGCATGTTTAATGGAGTGGTGCGAGATGTTGAGGAATTAATAATACAATAATGCACTAAAAGGCGTGAAAGTAAAGTGCATGCCATGGAGTAGAAACCATCGGCCATTACGCTGGTAAAACAATGGCACTGTGATGGGAAACGAATCCTTAACAATGGACATTGTGCTAATTCATGAAGCTCATTTCGGTGTTCCCGTGGCAACCAATTTCCCGAACATTATAACGAGAATAATAATATAATATAAAATAGCGGGAGAAAAAGAGTGACGGAGACAGCAGTTGTTGTAATAGGTACTTACCGAGCAACCAGGGCGCGACGCATTCATTCTCCTTTGCACTTTTCAGGATAGTCTCCGGCAGTGGTAATGAATGTCTGACCATAGCACCGTAGAGCCCATACTCGGCCATTATCGTGCTTCTTCCCCAACACTTTTCGGTCTTTCGCCACTTGGCTCGGCGGTTCTGGAACCAGACCTGCACGAAACAAAAAATATTTCGGGTTATTATATGGGTATATATACAGCGGGTAGAGTATGTCGTCGTCCCACAAGTTGACAATGGTGTACTTGATACAAAAAATAAAGGAAATACAACGTAATAGGTACGGGAAAATCTTGTCTCAGCTCTCAATATTATATACATATATATATATATGTATATTGTATTCCCTCAGGTAACCGCAAAAAAACTCTCACTTTCTTGTTGTTATTATATTATGAAAATAAAATGTATTCCTTACAAATATTTTTGTTGATAAAAAAATATTTACCTATGTACTCGTATACATATCGTGTTTGTATAAAATACATAATATATAATGTATACTGCGATTTTTATGGCATTAAAATTTAAAAACATACACGTTACAACACGAGATACAAAATTAGGTAAGTACCTATAACTATAGTGAATAATTATATGAATCCATTGGTTTATTTTAGAAATAAAAAATGTATAATTAGTTATACATTTATAATCGTATATAATATATTATAATATTATGATACAAATTCTAATTCTATTCAATTTTCTGTGATTTTAGGAAATATGTAAGGATTAATAATTATATTATTTTTAAATTGATAACCTTTAATTATTATTATATGCATACACTTATTGTACATCAGTAAATATTATATTTAACATAATAATTTGATACATATTCCAATTTTCAATAATATTATATCTTTTGACTAGTATTGCCAGCATTTACCTATTATACGGTTATACTACTCATAATAAATGCTTAACTGTGACTTCAATATAATATTAATATAAGTAGGTTATAATTTATTATTATACGTTACTATAAACTAAACTAATATTCCAGTAGCCAGTAGGTATAAAAAATTGTTCAAACCTTTTGCGTAATATAATATATTAATATGCCTTTGAGTGACCGAGTGTCGACGAATTTTTATTTCGCTTTCAACAAACAGTATAATACGTATCGACGAACATTATAATGCATCTTTTAACCGAAAATATTTTCGTTTCCTTTTTCTAGGTAAAGTTTTCTCTAAAATAAATATTTTACCTCATTATTGAAACTTATCATTTTATGGTCGATTTGAAATTATTTGATTAGGAATAACCACTTATTATGAACGATGTATAATATACAATATAGGCATTAGTATCGCTATTGAAAATATAATTATTTGAGTTCTCGTTTTGAATTTGTTTAATAGACAAGAAATGAGACCTGTATACCAATATCTAGACACGGCAAAAATACGGTAGTATTGGATTGATTCAATGGCTTAACTTTGACAAGTTAAAAACTAATACATCACCGCACGAATCACGATGACGTTGCTCAATGTAAGAAATGATCATATTTTATAATAGGTAGTCGGTATATTGTATGTTATATGCGAATAAAAAAATACGAAATAATGATTGAATTTTATTTGCTTGCAGATAACGGTAGGTATGACTTATTAACAAGGTAATATAATATAATTAATCATACTGGCCAGATGTGTTGAAACCGATCGACGTACTTACGATGAATTTTGGCTCGATCAAAAATCGAACCTATCTTTTAAAATAATTGCCGGAAACAAATATAAACCAATTATAGGACCTACAGTAGGTACATTGGCGCACATCGACTTATCGTTGTGGACCCCACGACGATAGACATGACGTGATCGTTCGTCCCGTTACACTCCGAAATCCGAGTGGTCCTTAGTATCATATACTATTATAATATATGCGCTTATTTTATTAATATTAATAATATGAGGACAGTGACTATGCGGCCGCGTATAGAACGCAGTTGGCCGTGTCGCGGATTAAATCGGCCGGTCGTTATATATAATAAACGTCACGGTGTGAAACGGCAATAATTTCCACGAGTATCTACCCTCCGACCCCAACCCCAGCGACCCCCTGCACAACCGCCGGTGGCATCGCGGGCAAGTTATTAGAAATTCATTGGCGGTGGCGGAGCGATAGTTTTGACGGTCGGGGTAGTGGAAGGGGTGGTTGGGGAACTGCTGCTAATCGAAGCACACCCCGTGGAATTCGACTTTATATATTATATTATTATCGCAGTGTGTTTTCGGCAAAACCTCCCCGTCATCCTGTACGTATAAAACACACACATACACATTTTCACGTATTTAATATTAAATATATCTGTGTCCGCTTGTATGTGGGTTTGTGTGGGTGGGTGCGGATGTATGTGTAAGAGGGTGGACGATAATGCGCCGGGGGTAATCCGATTATGACGTTTCGTCGTCGAGTTAATTGAATCGGCGTGAAACGTACACGCAGGATTGGCGGGGGGTGTATATGGCCGTGGACGATCGGGCTGCAGCGATGTCTTGGGCGGCGAGTAGAAGGGGGTTAATAATAAAGTGCAAATGGAAATATTTCCGAAAACTAATTATAATTTTTTGTCGTCAACGCGCATTCTTTTCCTCTCCCCGAAAACTTTGCCCCACTGGTGAGCTTCGAAACGGCGGTGGGCTCAAAATATAATATATTATGGCTGGACAATGTTGTATTATTATATATACGCGTATATGCGCATTACGCGGCATATCTACTATAATAATATTATAGTCTCTGTAGAAAGTCGTACAATATCGATTCTGAGTGATGGTTATAATGACAGTCGATCAAAATAATATATCATATACCTATACATTCGTTAAAGGTATCGTAAGACACATCGATTTGAATATATTTTGATCAAGGTGTGTAGGTATAATATGGTTGCAAAAGTCAAACGAATAAATGCATGCAATGCATAGCAATATCATCGGTTTGTCATAAATTATAGTAATAATAATCAACTTGCAGTTCGATGATAATCAAAACCGAAATAAAGGATTCTAATAAAAATTACAAACCGTGTATGACAGAGTAGGTGTTTAAACTGTGCGCTGTGACTATATGGGGCGTCGTCACTCGAGAGTATAGGTCAAAGGAGCTTTGGGTCGACATCGAGATAAGATAAGATATATCAATATAATGATTATGATGATGATAATATGACCATTGCCCATTATGATGGCGTAATGAAAACGATTAATATAATAATATGCATTCACATAAATAATATATAAACATCACTTTTTTTGTCATTATAATAATATTATTACGGAGCCGTCAACATGACGTTGTGAAGAGACGCAGAGGAGGCGCGCTTATGGTATAAAAACAAATTTTAATCACCTGCAGAACTGCAGGCGAAAGACACTGACATTTTGTTTGGCCAAAATTTAGTAGTTGGGTAATGTTTTGTGACCACGTATAATGTTAGTGCTTAGACGGGTTGATAAGCTTTAAAAATAATTACGCCATAGGCGTTTTAAAAGACAATTCATTACAATTGAAAAAAAACATATATAAATTATAATCTACATCTCTATGTAGGCATCAGATAACATCGTGTACAACACTGTGCATAATAATGTTATAATAGTATGTATAATATATTATTATTTCATTTGGGTTTATGTTTATGAATCTATATAAATAATCGACATGCATCGTCGTTGTGAGCGATTTGGACATCGGGAGAGATTATTCACATCAGCTCTACTGCAGTGTATTTATGTCATTTATAAAATCGCTTTTAATTTTTTTTTGTCAGTTTGGCAGTTTGTACTATAATATAGTTTTGGGATTTTAACGTAGCCAGCAAAGCTGGCAAGGGGTGAAATAATGTTTGGCCTCAGTCTACTTTCGCGTATTGAAGTTGTGTTTACCGACATGAGTTGTACACAACTCGACCCACTTGAAACGGACGATACGGTAAATATAATCCGACTGGTAGAACTGGACAATAATATAATAATATATTATGCGGTCAAAAAGACCTACAATGACCAAAACTTTTGTGTAACAAACTCTCCAACAACCAATGTTGTATTGTATTGTTTGCCATGTTGGAGTATAAGCCACTACAGTTATTAATACACTTAATGCGATTCGTGTACTGCGTTTGTAGGTTTACCTTTATGGCTTTATTTTCTATACGACTTGACTTTTAACTGCAGCTCATCTGGAAAAAGTTTTATATTTTAAAGGTAATAAAGTTGACGCATACCTATCAACAGAACTACAGAACTACAGAAGTATAGAATAGTATGGGTACGCATTATTATAGTAGTTCGATGATAATATTATTTTAATTTATTATAATATAATTAAATTATATTTAGGTACTGACAAACTGAAAAACAAATTTATCCATACAATTATTATAATTACTATAGTTATTCGGAAAGTTTCTAAAGAAATTTGATTTTCCGTGAATAACATTTTCAATTTCGTTTTTATTTTGAATCATTCTGAATTATTTTTTTTTGTAATAGGTAGAAACTTATAATTACATTATGGATGTAAAGCAATAGGTAATAAACTATTTATTTTAAAAGTACAGTGAAACTTCCATGAAACGAAAATATTCGTAATATAGAGGAATTTATTAAATATAATTAATCTCAAAAATAGTCTGTTCTTAAACAGAAAATGGAAGTTCGTTATATGGAAGTTTTGCTGTATTTACCTATAAGTGGGGTGGACTGTGGAATGATAGAGCTTGGAAGGCATGTTGAATCTAAATATCTATAGATAGGTACTTTAAATATTTATAAATAATTAACTATTTGTTTAGTATTAAACAAACAATATAATAAGAAAAAACTGTTGTGCTACCAAAAATGAAATTTAAAAAAAAGTTACGTTTTAATAATATTATATACTAATTAATAATATAATATGTTATTAAAGGTATAATTATTGGCTCACAATGTTGTATTATTACTAACAAAACAAGCTTTTAAGTGATAATAATTTTGTTTTCATTTTATTTCGCCGCAAGTGAACTTATCTTTGCTGCGATTAAACAAAAGGACCCTCTTCCATTGACGTAGACAACGACTATCGTCTGATGAAGTGATTTCTGGTTTAGGTAAAATGTGAGTGTGTGTTTTCACCCTCGAGGAATTTAT